ACCCCCCCCCCCTTTTTCCTTTTTTTTTTTTTTTTTTTTTTTTTCCCCAAAAAACCCCAAGAAAAAAAAAAAAAAAAAAATTTTAAACCCCTTTTGGGGAATTTTCTTTTCCCCTTTCCAGTGCAAAAAAAAGCCCTCTATCCAAGGTTTTTTTGGAAACAAAAGCAAAGAAGCCCCCCCCTTGAAACAAACAAGAAAGGGCCCAAGAAAGACCAAATGGCCCCCCTCTCGCAACACCAGACTCAGGACGGCCCAAGAAAAAGAAAGGGGCCTTACGGCGTGCACATAGCAACGACTCACAGTCAATGTCAGACCCCAGACGATCCAGAACCCGAGCCTGAGGCAGAGACCATGCCAGAAGCCCTCCTTGAGGAAGATTATCAGGGGCCCTATCTCAATGTAAGTACTGGATAAGGTGTGAGAGCAGATGAATGGCCTCTTATTTTCCTGATAGGATTCTCTGTTTTCTCTTCTTTATATTTTTATTTTGAGCATGTATTATTTTCTTTTTCTTTTCATTGATGCAGTGGGAAAATATGGAAAATTCAGATAAAGAAAAGAGTATTCTTTATATTTCCAGTCCTTTATTTTTCAGGGAATGAAATTATGAAATTTGTTATTGTTATTATTTGAAATTGATGTTTATAGTAGTGATGTTCCAATACATCTCTTCAATGACAATTATACCAGCTATCATTATGCAAATGCAAGGACCCTTTTTTTCTTTTTTTCTTTTATAAAAAGTAATTTGATAGGAGTAACAGGAAGAGGAAAAGAGAGAAAGGGAGGGAAATTGAGAAGAGAGTAGGTAAACAGGGAGAGAGGAAAGAAAAGAGAGGAGAAAGTGGTCAAGAGAAAAGGTTTTAGAAATTTGAAATTGGTTGTGATTATTGTGCATACTCGTATAAAGTTTGATGTGTTCCAAAAATTATTCCAAGTCTTGATGCTGAAGCCATAATATTTGGTATTTGTAATGAAGTTTTTCTTAAGTTTTGAAGAATTTGTAATTTTGGGAAGGTCTTTTACATGAAGTGTGTGTAAGTGCACCATTATTGAATGGAAGTGTATGTGGATTCCCTCAATGATGGCAGACCTGTAGAATATGCAAAGAAGAAAGGAATTATACATAGAAATGTTCTGCTCACACATGCACACTTACTATTCTTCCAAACTTGCCCAAAACTGAAGTACACAGTGTGTCAAATATGAGGCAGTGTGTGCGTGAGAAGTCCATTTTCTCTGGTAGCAAAAACACCTTTTTTCAAGACAAAAGACGATCCTAGATTTCTCTTTCATCAAGCACCCAGATTTTTTTTTTTTATGCACAGAATGAACCATTCATAAGGTTTTTTGTCTTTAATCTTTCGTATATATGTGAATGAATTTACCTCTAGCCTTGTTACCCAAGCCCCCATATGTGATTAGGAGAAGATGCTCTGTAAAAAGAAGTAAAAATACAGGTTTTCTTTAGTAGATGAATGCTGTGATATCACTCAGTACATGGGATTATGATGAATCAGATATTACAAGTATTTCCTTCACATTTCCAGATGGCATTAACACTAAAGAGACGAACGATTATAGAGCAATACTTGAAGGTTAAGAAGGACCAAACCTTTGAGGAAGTGGTAAAAACAGTCTTAGGCAATCATGGTAAAAGGCTCCTTAACCTGAGGCTAAAGTCCTCTTTTGTGTCGAACCTAAAGTCGGATTTTATGAACCGCTGGAAGAAAAGTCGACGGATTACGCTTAGGTTTTTTAAACTCAACCAGAATTGGTTGGAAAAGGATATTGATCTAAGGCATTATGGTGAGTGGGAAGGCAAGTCCACTGAGAACCTGGGTTCAAAGAGCAAAAGTATTCCAAGCACAAGCAGTGATGTTGTTGGACAATAGGGAAAGTATAGAAAACTGCTCTCATATCTGAAAGAATGAAGGTGTTTGCTTACAGGATGACAAGATTAAAAGCCAGTCTAGTTATTGTGGGATGTATGATGGATGTATGATGGACATGATCCAATAGCCATCCAAAAAATTTGAGGGATAATTCTTGAGAATTTCTATGAAGGAAATTCCTTTGTGATCCATGCTGAAGGTGTTATTTCATGCAATTAATGGAGAAATGATATCAAACATCTTTATTCAAAGTACACACAAGAAAAAGTGCAGTGTATAAACCTACCATATTTTCAAAAGAAATACAAGTCCAAAAGAATGTTTGATATTGGGATGACATTCTCTTGTAGTGCACCTTGACAGTGTTGGGTGTTGTACAATATATAAGATACTTCTTATGGTAAAACAAACAAACAAATTATTATTTCTTCCAGCTAAGGGATTCCAGTGTGGAAATGCAACTGAATGTGATGTGATATTTTATGGTACAATGTGAATTTTTGGTTTTGAATTTAACTGGAGATTTTTATTTTCTCCTCAAGGTTGAGTTAAAGAAGTCCATTTAGTGTACTATGACATAATTAGAACTCTGTTGTGTACTTCTGTTATAATCTCTATGAGGATGAATATGCCATCTCTTATAAAACACTATTGTATGTTGTTTTCTGTGAGGTACATAAGTGAAAATAAGAAGTGGGGGCCAATTCAAGAGTCACACTTATTGTTAAAGGCATTCTAATGTAATTGGCATAGGGGGTTGTGAAGATGACTATGGTCTTCCAGCATCAAGGCTTTTGTACTAACCATAAGAAAATTATGACAAAAAAACTTTAGAGGCCAAGTAACTGATTCTACATGAGTCTTAACACATTAGCTGCAGATGGCATGACATACATTCCATGACTACTGTATCTTTAGTTCATAAATAATGTTCATACAGAGATGGTTCCTTTGTCAGCAAAGAGTCAATTTTTAGTCTTACCTTTCTCACCAGTTCATCCTTTTCTTTGATTTTTGGAAACTTGTTTTTTATTATTATTTATTAGTAGTAGTATTAGTAACTTAATAATCATGATGTTGATGATGATAATAATAACAGTATCTATATGAGCATCATTAGAAAAAAAAATATTGACAAATTCAGTGAATGGGAAAATAAGATGCTATCACTATGGCCACTAATTGACTCTTTGGTAGTGGAGCACTTGTGGAACCATCTGTTTGCTACAAAATTCACCAATAAACTGTAGTGGACAGTACATTAACCTGTGGTCAATGAGTGAGAAAGTTCCTCTTTTATTTTTTTACAGTTTTTAATCACTACCTGGAGATAGTCTCTGTTTTGATAAACATTGCCAATGCAGTATTAAGAATGTACACAAATTTCCCTTAAAGTTTTTGCCTCATTTACAATATTGGAAAATGAGATCTATTTTGGGATTGAAATAAAGTCAGTAAGTTTTATGCTAGGACGATTTCTGGAATTTCTGGGTTTTGCCTCATAACTGTGGGACCTGGATTTAGAACAGCATTTAAAAGAAGTTAACTGAGGTTTTAAAACTGAAGAATGCATCATAATTGACAATCCATAGATTTCTGTGCAAAATCATTTGAGGATACCCAGTTGGGTATGATTTTAAGGGCACTAAGAAAATGAAAATATAAAGAAGGAATAGTTGTCCACTTTTTTCATGGTTGAAGGAAGCAGATCTGAAACTATGTTTTGGCCTTCACTGAGATCTGGAAAGGAGAGAGATGTTTATATTTAAACTAATCTTGGAAACTTCCACAATTGAAACTGGATCAGAGATAGAAGAAAGTGGATCAGAGATAGAAGAAAGGTATACAAGTAAGTTACTATTTGTGAGACGCATATTTTTGGCACAGCCTGTAGTCTTTAGAGAACTGAAAATTTAGTTGCAAATTGTGTCTTGTGACGTTACTGCATTTACTTTTTTCCATACATATATTTTTCTTGAATATAAGAATGCAGGTGTGTTATAATGGCAGAATGAAAATTCTTCATTTTTTGTCATATTCTGGTCATTACCTAGTCAGTTTATATGTTCCTATTCTTTAATGTACAATAGAATGTAAACTGTTTTTCATTATTTCCTCAAATTATGCCAAAGCATATGATGAAAAATTGGCAAAATGATATAGTTACCCCATATGGCAAAATAAAATAGTAACTCCTTATGAAAATGCACTTTCATTAGCCTATAAACAAGCCATTGTGATTGTTTATAGAAGTGAAAGCCCCTGAATCTGTTACTTTTGAACATGTTCAAGAGTTAGTTGGTAACAACACTGCGTAAAAATATGAGGCATTAGTATCGGCAAGAATATCAATACATTAAACAAGTTTACGGTAAACAAAATTAAGTTTAGATTTGTTTAGATCATAAGTACGTAATATTTTACAAACATTGTCATATCAAATTATGCCAATTATTTGAATTCTTGAGTGAGGCATTGTGTCACTATCACAGTTCTATTTATCAGAAGAAAGAATGCTCTGATTTTGGCAACATACATTTTATTCTGTTTATGTGCACTTGTGTTCAAACTCTAGATCATTTGTTGGAAAAAAATGCTGACAGAACACAGTAAAATTGGCTTATGCTTTATCCTAAGACTTGATGAAGATTGATTTTTATTTTATTTTAGGACTTTTGGGCTTACAGACTGAAAAATTTGGGAATAATAACTACCCAGAAAAGGACATGTGCATATAGACTTTTCCAAAAAGAGGTGTTTTGCATCCAGTAAAGCAGTTGTTGAATATATTCAACATTAGGGGATCCCTTTAAGGTGGTAGCAGAGATGTAATTTTGAAATTAGAATAGTTAATGACAGTAACTGGAATGTGTGAAGGTAATTGCAACAAGATGGGTGCATCAATAATGAAGGCATGGTTTATTTATACTTATGTATTTATTCTTATTTATTTATTTATTTATTTTTATTTTTATTTATGTATTCTTATCTATTAAGTTATATTTAGTCTTATGTATTTATACCTATTTATTTATATTTATTGCTTATTTACTGATATAGATCTATCTCATTTACATGGTGGAATTCATTAGAAGCAACTTTTTTCTCTCAATTAAATCAGGATTGAAATTTCACTGCCACTTGATTAGGACAGTATTAATGTAGCTCCTTCCACCTTCCATGATTTATATTTTTATATGTTTATTACATTTATCTATATCATTATTTGTTTCTAAGGAGAATTGGATGTCTTAAGATGATCAAAAAGGGGAAAGAAAGAAAGAAAGAAAAAGATTGGGTGAAATTAGGCTGCAACAAGGTAACTGATCGTTTAATTGTCTTATTTTTATTGTTCTTTTGTTCTAGATTTGACTGCGTTACACTGTCATTGATGAAAACAAGACTTCAACTTCTCTTAGAGACAGGAATTGGGGCATGAGAATGTTATTTGTAAGATGTCGAAGGCACTTGTACTTTACATGCCATCACTTTATTTGAATTTCATTGTGCTATGAAATAAATATTATAAATGATTCTACTTTGTTTTTCCTGGAGTTGCTCTGTCTACTTGGGTTAGTGTTGTAAAAGACAAGACTTGATTTTCTTTTGGGGAAAAGGTGAATGATGACAGCGTATTCGTGACAGAATGAACTGAAACTGATTTGATTCTGCAATTAAACCAAGAAAGGTGGTGTTGATCTTTGCTGGTGATTTTATATTGGATAAATAGGTCAATTGATTGACATTGGGACACTGGAATAACTAGATAACCTCTCTTAGTAATTTGTAATGTAAATATGGTTTAGATTCAACCAAAAGTCTTTACCTGAGCTGAAAATGTGTTCTTTATGGAAAAAATAAGTTTTATAAACTTCGTACTCTCTCTCCCTCACAAATCTTGGAACACTGCTGAGCTATTAATGTTAATGATATGTTATGTAGATTGGTAATATGAAGCATTCAGAAAGAAAAGGCTGTTATGATCATTGTTTGGCTAAACATGTTTGTGACATGTAAGATGATATTACCCACTTAAAGCTAAACTTTTTTTCCATATCTTCTCATTTTCTTCATTTTCTTATTCACCTTTCTCCTCCTCCTCCATCTCTTTCTCCTCTTTCTCTCCTCTCCTCCTCCATCTCTTCCTCCTCTTTCTCTTCTCCTCCTTCTCTCCTCTCCTGCTCCTCTCCTTCCTCCTCCTCCTCCTCCCCTCCTCCTCTCTCCTCCTCCTCCTCCTCCTCCTCCTCCTCCTCTCCTCCTCCTCCTCCTCCTCCTCCTCTCTCCTCCTCCTCCTCCTCCTCCTCCTCCTCCTCCTCCTCTCCTCCTCCTCCTTCTCCTACCTCCCTGGCATGTAAGATGATATTACCCACTTAAAGCTAAACTTTTTTTTTCCATATCTTCTCATTTTCTTCATTTTCATTTTCATTCACCTTTTCTCCTCCTCCTCCTTCTTTTCTCCTCTTTCTCTTCCTCCTCCTCTTGCCTCCCTTCCTCCTCCTCCTCTCCTCTTCCTCCTCTTCCTCCTACTCCTTGGCCCCTCCCTTCCTTCCTCTCTCCTCTAACTTTCTCCCTCCTTCCCTCCGTCCTCTTACTTTCTCCCTCTTCTCCTTCCCTTCCTCCTTCTCTTCTTCTTCCTCTTCCTCTCCTCTTCCTCCTCTTCTCCTCCTCCTCCTCCTCCTCCTCCCTCCTCCTCCTCCTCCTCCTCCTCCTCCTCCTCCTCCTCCTCCTCCTCCTCCTCTCTCTCCTCCACCCCCTCTTTCCTCCTCCTCTTCCTCCACCTCCTCTTTCTCTCCTCCTCCTCCTCCTCCTCCTCCTCCTCTTCCTCCTCCTCCTCTCTCCTCCCTCCTCCTCCTCTTCCTCCACCTCTCTCTTCCTCCTCCTCGTCCTCCTCTTCCTCCACCTCCCCTTTCTCCACTCTTCCTTTTCTCTCTCCTCCCCTCCCCTCCTTCCTCCTCCTTCTCCTCCTCCTCCTCCTCCTCCTCCTCCTCCTCCTCCTCCTCCTCCTCCTCCTCCTCCTCCTCCTCCTCCTCCTCCTCCTCCTTCTCCTCCCCTCCTCCCCTCCTCCTCCTCCTCCTTCCTCCTCCTCCTCCTCCTTCCTCCTGCTCTCCTCCTCTGCTCCTTCTCCTCCACCTGCTCTTTCTCTCCTCTCCTCCTCCTCCTCCTCCTCCTCCTCCTCCTCCTCCTCCTCCTCCTCCTCCTTATCCTCCTCCTTATCCTCCTTATCCTCCTCCTTTTCTTTCTCCTACCCCTCCTCTTCCCCTTCCTTCACCCACTCTCCTTCCCTCTTCCTCCTTGCTGTTTCTTTCTCTCTTGCATTTATCTGGATGTATATATACATGGTTTTCGTCACTAAAAGTTTTGATAATAGGTGCACATTTATTCAGTTGGTAATTTTTTCAGATACTTTTGGAATTAGTTAAACCAATGCCACTAGTAAAATGTGATGATTACTTTTAGTATACCTTTCTTAAAAATATTTACCCATAGATAGGTGCACAAGTGCTCAGTCACTACGGAGTCAGTTAGTAGACCTCATGACCCTACCTGATTTCCTTTTTCCTTAAATTTTCAGATTTTTTTTTCAAATGCTATTGATGTGTGTGCTTTTATTATCATTATAGTCATTATAATTATTACAATTTTGTTAATAATACTAATGGTTATATAAAGTAAAATAGGATATTTTTGAAAATCAAGGGAAAAAAGTAAACATATGAGATAGGTATGATAAGTAATTGACCCCTTGATGACTAACTCATGTAGAAAAAGTATGAATGAGAATGAATATATTCACAATACAAGAGATATACTTGTATTAAATACATTTCTTGAAGTGCGAAGATATTCATTCTCATTTATACCTTTTCTACATTTGTCAATGTGAATACGGATCATGACTAACTCACTGTGGGCATGGGATAGATGAGCATGCCATTTCAGAAGTCATGGCAATTTTTTAAGTCACTGTATGCATTATATGTCTTACACTTATTGTTGAGGATGATAAATTTTAACTATAAGATGATGTGTATTACTTTTATTGGTATTTTGAATTAGAATTCATATATGCATGCTGAGAGTTTTTAATTAGCATGACATATTTTGGGGAGAGCTGAAAACATATTTATGATTTTATCAAATGTAAAAGTAGTTTGTTTTGATAGGTTGAATGAGTGTCCTATAAGAAGATAGATGTTTGATCTTAATAGCAATTTTGTAATATCTAAAATTAGTATTTTGCTTATTTTCCTGTACTCTTTGTTGATTAATCCAAAATCCAAGTTCAGAGTTGTATTTGAAAGGCCAAAAGAGAGCTTAACCTCTCTCAGGGACAAAGCACTGGATTCAAGTTGAAAAAAAGAAGGAAAAAAAAAAAAATCAGTCTCACTAATGATTTCCAAGCCTAACATAGCTGAACTCCCTTGTAATCAACGCCATGCTTATTGTGTATGCAGAAAATGTATGGGCTGGCGGCGTGGAAGCGTTGGGTGACGGGAAAGAACGCGGAGCTGGCAGGGGTCTCTTCCTCACGTAGTATGAAACTCGTACCCGAAGACTTACTTACCATGAATTGTGAGGAACTGAACTATGCCCTCTG